CGGTTGGCTCGGCAAGGGCCCGTGGTGCCTTCCGGTTGGCTCGGCAAGGGCCCGTGGTGCCTTCCGGTTGGCTCGGCAAGGGCCCGTGGTGCCTTCCGGTTGGCTCGGCAAGGGCCCGTGGTGCCTTCCGGTTGGCTCGGCAAGGGCCCTGTTGTTCCTTCTTCTTTAGGTGGGGACAGGGAGCTGCCATGCAGACCTGGAGTCTCCCTCACCTTGGGGACATGGAAAAACTCTTTGTGCTCTCCCGCTGGGTTTTTGTTCGATTATTGTTTTGATGTCTCATCCTAGGGATGGACTCTCTATTTTATTTAATTTTATTTTTTTGGTTTTTTGAGACAGGGTTTCTCTGTGTGGCTTTGGAGGCTGTCCTGGAACTCACTCAGTAGACCAGGCTGGCCTCCAACTCACAGAGATCCCCCTGCCTCTGCCTCCTGAGTGCTGGGATTAAAGACGTGCGCCACCAACGCCCGGCCCTATCATCGTTTTTTTTTTTGTTGTTGTGTTTTGGTGACAGGTTTCCCCTAAGTAGCCAGACAAACCTAGAACTTTCTCACTAGCCACAGCTAGCCTCAAGTCAGCTGTGGCAGCATCTACATTTCCATGCTGGGTGTGTGCTGGGTGGGGTAGGGGTGCGGGAGAGGTCAGAGGACTTTGGGGTGAGTTCACTCCATCCACCTTTCTATGGGTTTCATGGATTGAATCCGGGTGACCGAGTTTATGTGTGTTTTTATTCACTGGCTCAAAATTAACAGGACTTGACTGTCACTCCGTCTCATCCCTAAGACTCACCTGACAGCCAGGACGTTACCGGATGTCTAAGGTGACAGTAATGATGCCCAGCTAAAACTTTTTTGAGGGCTTTAGGCAAGGCTCAGCAGTCAAGAGCACTTGCTACATCCGGGCAGTGGCGCACACGCTTTTAATTCCAGCACTGGGGAGGCAGAGGCAGGCGGATCTCTTGTGAGTTCAAGGCCAGCCTGGTCTCCAGAGTCCCAGTGCAGGCTCCAAAAGCTACACAGAGAAACTGTATCTCGTAAACAAACAAAAGAGCACTTGCTACTCATGCAGAGGCCCGAGTTCTGTTCTCAACACAATTTGGGTAGCTCACAACCAACCGCCTGTAATTGCATTTCCAGGGGAAGCTGCAGCACTTACACGGACATAAACACCCACGCTTAAAAGAAAAGGTTGGGTCTGGTGAGTTAGTAAAAAGGTACTTGGCACCAAGCCCGACAACCTGAGGGATCCCCAGAACCAGCATGGTGGAAGTCGGTAACTTGGAGAAGCTATCCTTTGACCTACACAGACACACACACGAGCACATACAATAAATAAATGTGCAGACACAATAAATAAATGTGCATTGTGCACACACAAATAAATGTGCATTGATGGTGCACGCCTTTAATCCCAGCACTCAGAAGGCAGAGCGAGTGCCAGGACAGGCTCCAAAGCTACGCAGAGAAACCCTGTCTCAAAAAACAAACAACAAACAGAGGCCGGCGGATGATAGGTTGTAGCTTGAGATCAGTCTCTGTGGTGTGCACACACAGGCACGACTGAGGTAAACAGATTCTGTGTGGTTTGAATTTAATTTCCCCAATGTTTGGGTGGGAAAGGCTTGTCTCCAGCAGGTGGCACTATTGGAAAGTTGCAGAAAGCAGAAGGTGGGGCTAGTTGGAGAAAAATGTCTCTTGAGTGATAGGGGTGACTTTGAAGAGAATGTTTTGCTGCTGACTTCTTCCTCGGCGTCCTGGCTGCCACGTTTGTGGAGGCGAACAGTCTTCTGTGACATTCTCACACTGCCGCGGTGAGAATCCAGATGTGCTATTTGGCTTACACTTTCTGCTCACTATCCATCATTGTGGGAAACCCTAGGAGGAACCACAGAGGAACTGCTTGCTGGCCTGTGCCATCCCACAATGGGCTGGGCCCTCCTGCCTCAGTTAGCAACCAAAAACCCTGCTCTAGGCAATTCGTGGGTTGAGGCTTCCCAGATAGCTGTACCATATGCTAACTTAAGGCTGACCAGCATACCACAGCCTGGGAACCATTAGCGTCGACACAGGGTTTCTCTGTGTAGCTTTGGAGCCTGTCCTGGAACTCGATCTGGAGACCAGGCTGGCCTCGAACTCACAGAGATCCGCCTTCCTCTGCCTTCTGAGTGCTGGCATTGAAGGTGAGTGTCGCTGCCACCTGGCCCAAAATAAATCTTGACTGGCAAAATAAACCCTGGGCTGGCAAAAAACCAGAAGTTTGTCTGTTACATGAGTTTTAAAAACAACCCTTGAGATCTGAGAGGTGGCTCAGTGAGTTAGAGCATAAAGGGCCCTTGCAGAAGGCAGCCAGTCACCACAGGGAATCGACTGCCTTCAGGTACTGGCACACGCAAGCACAGACATAAGTACACATTCACATACATCAATGTATGTTACACATATGTAAACTCACACTATACCCTGAGGAATACTAGGTGGGATAAAACATCCACAGAGTCGTCCAAATCTGCAGATTCAACCTGAAGACAGCATCACCGTCAAATACTATTCTTTTTTTATTTTTTAATTTTGGTTTTTTCGAGACAGGGTTTCTCTGTGTAGCTTTGGAGCCTATCCTGGAGCTCACTCTGGAGACCAGGCTGGCCTCGAACTCACAGAGATCCGCCTGCCTCTGCCTCCCGAGTGCTGGGATTAAAGGTGTGCGCCACCAACGCCCAGCTTTTTTCTTATTTTTTGAGACAGGGTTTCTTGACTGCACAGCCTTAAAGGCTGCCGTGTTAGTAGAGCAGTGAACCAGGACTAAGCAAAGCTGGTTTCCCCTGCTGTCTCTGCACAGGCCTGAGGCCTGGTGGTTCCTCCTAGAATGACACTTTGCCAGCATTGTAGAAATCATATATATTGCGTATTAACAGCCTCGTCTGCTGGCGTGTGCGTGTGTGGAGGACAGAATAACCTCAGGTGCTGTTCCTCCGGTGACGTCAATCCTTACATTTACTAAGACGCGTCACTAGCCTGGGAGTTAGGGGTTAGGCTAGCTGTGTTCAGACCTCAGGGATGCACCTAGTATCTCTGGTACTGGGATTATAAACTGGCAGGTTTGTTTGTTTCTTTTTACATTGTTACTGGGGACTTGTGCTGACCACGCAGCCCACTTACTGAGCCATCTCTGCAGCCCCACTTTCAGGCTGGGTTTGGTTTTTGTTTTTTTTTAAATTTTAGATAACGACTCAAACCATAACCAGGGCTGGCCTGAACTTCACCACTGCAGTCCGAGAGTGCTGGGAATACAGGTGTGAGCCGCCCTTGTGTGGCAATGCATGCTTTTTTCAAATGTGTTTAATAATGTGCCATTTAAGTATACTAAAACTCATCATTAAACCTTTTTTTCGGGCTGGAGAGATGGCTCAGAGGTTAAGAGCACTGACTGCTCTTCCAGAGGTCCTGAGTTCCATTCCCAGCAACCACATGGTGGCTCACAATCATCCGTTATGAGATCTGGTGCCCTCATCTGGTGTGCAGATATACATGGAAGCAGAATGTTGTGTACATGATAAATAAATAAAATCTTTACAAAAATATTCAGAGCCGGACTTTGGTGGCGCACGCCTTTAATCCCAGCACTCGGGAGGCAGAGGCAGGCGGATCTCTGTGAGTTCGAGGTCAGCCTGGTCTCCAGAGCGAGTGCCAGGATAGGCTCCAAAGCTACGGAGAAACCGTGTCTCGAAAAACCAATATATAATATATAAAATTATATATATATATCAGTGTCCAGGCGAGATGGCTCAGAGGTTAAGAGCACTGACTGCTCTTCAGAGGTCCTGAGTTCCATTCCCAGCACCCACACGGTGGCTCACAACCGTCTGTAACGAGATCTGATGCCCTCTTCTGGCCTGCAGGCAGACAGAACACTGTCTACATAATAAATAAATCTTTTAAAAATATTAGTAGATTTTTAATGATATGTATCTTTATATGTATATAATACATATTCATTTATTGTATTGTGGGTGTATTCTTGGGTGTGGGCATGTATGTGCCACTGCATGTGTGTGGCAGTCAGAGGATAGCGTTTGTTGCTTCTCTTCTTCCACCATGAGGGTTCTGAAGATCAAGTCTGGCCATCAGTTTTGGTGACAAGCCCTACCATCCACTGAGCCATTTTGTCAACCCTAGATCTTTAACCTATTGCTGGTCTAGCTCTTCTGTGAAGAGCAGCTGCTGACCCCTGCCACTGTGGGTCTTGGCTATGCCTGGTGAGCAGTGCTCATGGGAAGTTCCACATACCATCCTCCCAAAAAAGTGTATTGGTAGTTACTAATCCCCATTATGAGAGGAAACTGAGAACTAACTAGACTATGATCATATCCTTAATAACATGCCATGTGTGAACTTGAACCCAGGTCCTTCAGAAACAAAAATTGCCTATATCCACAAAACGGCAAGCATTTGGACAGTACTTTTGACTAAATGAAGTCCTACCACAGCTAATTGAGGTTGGGGCTCCTGGTGGATCCTACTTCAAGCCTAGCAGTGAGGTGCTTTTTCTTGGGGCCAGGATGAAGAATAGGCCAAAGAAAATAGTCCATTCATGTTTTTCCCCCCCGGCCAAGATATTTATGTGATGGATATTCTGAAGAGTTATTTTTGTTTCGTTTGTTCCGTTCAGGTGTTTTGTTGCTGTGGTGGCTCCACATGAAGCCAGGAGAGCCTGGAAAGAATTGCAGAGCCTTGCTGTGGGCAAGTGGCTTCCCAACAGATCCCCGGTCTTCTGTACAGTGCTATTATGCTATGGAAGCCCCCCCACTTGCCCCATCAGGAAGCCTAGGGACACTAGTACATTTCCGGGAGCCATGGAAAAGAGCTCCATAAATCTGCTACTGAATAAAGGTCGGCTCCCATAATAGGACAAAGAAATTCAGCTTTTCAGAGCAGCCAGGGAGCCCCATGCTACAACTTGTTTACAAATATCAGCAAACTCACGACGCCTGTCTCGCCCCTAAGCTGGAAGGTGTTGCGCTCCCAGTGCCTGCAAGTGCCAGAGAAAGAGACTCAGAACGGCCAGGTAAAGCGACTCTGATGGGCACACAGTGTGTGTTTTTCTGTAAGGGAAAGATCTCTCCCGGCATCTCGTGGAAGAAAACCTTTGTTGGTCTGTTTTTGAGACACCAGTCCCCCCCTCTGTAGCCCAAGCTGACGTTTAGCTGCCAGAAACCAGAAACCGGCTGGCCTAAATCCCTCCCAGTTTGTGTGGTTACCCCTATGCATCACCACCCCCTATTTAAGACAGTTGTTGAAAAAGATTGATTCTGGAGGCTGGTTCAGCAGCTAAGAGCACTTGTTGCTCTTCCAGAGGACCCAGGATTGGTTTTTCAGCACTCAGGAGGCTGCTTAAAGTCATCTGTAACTCCAGTTTCAGGAGAAGTTCCTGCTAGCCTCAGTGGCACCAGGGACACACACATAAGCAGGCAAAACAACCAGACAGGTTAAATAAAAGTTGATTTAGAATTTTTTTCTGGTAGCCAGGCGTTGGTGGCACATGCCTTTAGTCCCAGCACTCGGGAGGCAAAGGCAGGCAGATCTCTGTGAGTTCGAGACCAGCCTGG